GCTCAATAAACTAAAAAAAAATAACTGCATCTTTGGTAATGTGCCATTTTTGGCACACCCAAAAACTTTCATTGTTCCCTGGTTCTTTGGCGATGTGCCATTTTTGTCACACTCAAATTGCTTAGTTTATAAAAAAATCAATATTCATATTTAAGCTAATTACTGACCTGGGATATGTTTTCTCATCTTTAATCTGTGCAAATCACTTAGATATATAAGTAAACAGCCTAAAATATTGAAATAAGAAGTAATTTACTAACCTTCTACACTAAGCCTCCATACTTCCTTTTCTATATGTTGGTCTAAAGTGATAGTAATTTCCAAAATATCCACTAAGGTAAATGCACCAGTAGCTGACAGTGCTCCAGAAGCTGACAGTTTGAGTTTCTTAACATTATAATGTGGTCTCTTAAAAATATTTACACATGATTGCATTGTTAGAAGAACATATGTCTATTCTTGATTTGTTTACAAAAAAATCAGTTAAATTTAGCCCATACTTGCGGAATGGTGGTGGTTTGAAAGCGACCCTGTCCGTACACATCACATTTAGTCGATTCCCTTAATGAAATTGTTAAGAAAGTTAGTTTGGTTTTTTGTCATTTCGCTAAGTTTCTTAAATAGTATTAATGATTAGGCTCATTATTTTTATCAATTATACCTTTGTTGACAATTTCATGAAAAAATTGGGGCGTTAGGGGTTTTGGATTTGAAATTATATCAATGTCAGGCTTTGGTACACAAAAGCCATACAAGTTCCACTAGCTGACAGGGGATATTTGCTACTTGCACAATATTAAATTGGTTTCACCCATCGAAATTTGCATGCAATTTATAATTTATGTGATCTCACATTTTTATAAAATGATTTTAATTTTTTAATTTATAAGCCAAATTATCTAAAAAAATGTATATTTTTTTAAAAATATATATATAATATATACAGGGTGACAAACAAGTCTGGAAACGGTTTAATATCTTTTTAAATAAATCCGTTAGAAATTTCAAACTTTTCACATCAACTTACATGTATGAAAACTACTTTTTCCAAGCATTATCATTTTTTTACCTCTACCAGGGGACGGCCCACGAAGAGTAGGTACATAATCTTTAATGTAAGCATATGTTGATATGCACATCATTTTAAAGGTCTGGTCAAGTGGAGTTCATTGCCGGAAACTGCGTCAAAAAAGGTTCATCCGTTACAAAATGGCGGCTGTCCAAAGTTCTTGTGGAATATACCCGCACAGGCCTTAGTATTGGTAAATACTCGTATTAAACATTAGCTTGAGAGCTGAAACTGTATTTTAAAGTCAACTAGCTCATAGATTAATATTATAAAATCTTCAAAACAAATTTAACCGAGTTTCAGATTTCCCGGCTAATGTTGAATATGAGTATTTACCAATACTAAGGCCTCTGCAGGTATATTCAGCAAGAACTTTGGACAGCCGCCATTTTGTAACGGATGAACCTTTTTTGACGCGGTTTCCGGCAATGAACTCCACTGGACCAGACCTTTAAAATGATGTGCATATCAACCTATGCTTACATTAAAGATTATGTACCTACTCCTCATGGGTCGTCCCCTGGTAGAGGTCAAAAAATGGTAATGCTTGCAAAAAGTAGTTATCATACATATAAGTTGATGTGAAAAGTTTGAATTTTCAAACTAATTTAGTTAAAAAGATATCAAGCCGTTTCCAGACTTTTTTGTCACCCTGTATATATATTTTAATGTAAATATTATTTATTTTAAAATATGTAAAATAAATTTTCATAATAACGTTTTATGTGATTTTATAATTTAATTATTAAGTTAGATTTTATTCGTCTTATAAATTATAAAACCTTTAGGTTTAGCAGCTAGTACATTTAAGTTCCAGTGTCAGCTACTGGGACAACTGACAGTCAGCTACTGGTACAAGCACTTTTTTCACTGTCAGCCACTGGAACACGTACAAAGGTTGAATTAAGTTTAAAAATGTTATAAAATATATTTAAAAAACCCTTTTTGTATGACAAATTTGAAAACTACACTAAATTTAAAATCACATAAAATCCGAAATATCTCTTTAGTTCCTATTTATTCAAAACCACGGATTATTAAGTGCGTATAGTTTCTTATACTGTCAGCTACTGGTGTGTTTACCTTATAGTGCACTAAACCATAATAGCAATAGGCAAAGAACCTTTGGACGCCGTTTGTTGGAATTAAAAAGTTAACAGGCGAACGTGACATTTTTTTGAATCCTCATGTGCCAATAATGGCACGCTGTCAAATTAAGGGTTTTAAGGGGGGGGGGGTGTAAGTTACTTTTCAGCCACCCTTTATACTTATTCTCAACTCACCCAGCACACATTAACGTATGTTACACTTAAATACACAATTAAATATGTATACATATTTTTTGGACGGCATTATAAGTTTGTAATTTTTAGTGTGTTCCTTTCATGTCGTTAGTATAGGCAACTGTTCAAAACCAGATTATAAAAATACTGTTTTGTTAATTTAACGGAGCGAATTTATCAAAGCTACTACCCTACACTCCTGCTTTTGTTTTACAAATACTCCTCCTGAACGGCTGAAGCGACCTGCACGAAATTTAGCATAGTCATAGTAGCCAACCGTGGAAAGTATGGATCTGAAATGAAACAAATCGGACAGCTGGGCTTTTCCCTACGTAAATTTAAACATTTAGAAATTTAACATGGGCCTTATGGGTTGGTTAATGGTTGCCATGACATTATTTGCGAGATAACAATAAAAAGGTAAACAAGAGTCGCAACATATGCTAGTCAACGAATCATCTAAAATAGCGCGTTACAAATACAGTACAGAGAAAAGGGAAGAACAATCGGATTAATATCGTTGAGCATAAATTATTAAAAAAATGAATGAATATCTAATAATTAGGGTCGCCGGAATTTGGCTGATGGCTGATGATTGACTTTAGATACTCCAAATACCCATTCCATTTTTGTGAACCAAATCTAGGCCTACAATTGAGTTTGGATATTGCATGTAGACTTTCCATTTATGTGAAGTAGACGTACCATTAATGCATACTCTGAATATAGGTACTGCAAATAGGAATTCCATCAATGTGAACCAAAGATACCATTGAGTTTTGATACTACAAGTATATATTCCATTGACGTGAACCAGACGGACCAATGACTTTGGATACTGAAAATAGCCACACCATTTATGTGAATCAAACCATTAACATAGGATACTACAAGTAGACAGTTAATTTACATGAACCATATGTACCATTGAGTTTGGATACTACAAGTAAAAAATTCGTTTACGTGAACCCGACGTATCATTAACTTTGGATACTGCAAAATAGACATTCCATTTAAGTGAACCAGAAGTAAGCCTACCATTGACTTTGGATACTGGAAACAGGCATCTCATTTATGAGAACCAAATGGACCATTAACTTTGGATACTGCAATTAGATTTCCTATTTATGTGAATCAGGTGTAAAAGTGATTTGGGATAGTGCAAGTAGACAATTCATTTACGTGAACCAAAGATACCATTGAGTTTGGACACTGCAAGTATAAATTCCATTGACGTGAACCAGACGGCCCATAACCTTTGGATACTGCAAATAGGCACTTCATTTACGCGAATCAAATGAACCTTACGTATCATTCATTGGCTTTGAATACTGCAAATAGACATTCCATTTTAGTGAACCTGAAGTAAGCCTACCATTGACTTTTGATATTGCAAATAGGTATCTTTTTATGTGAACCAAATGGACTATTAGTAATGGACTATGGAGTAAACAATTAGTTTACTTGAACAAGACCATTGACTTTAGAACCTGTAAATAGACATTCCGTTTAAGTGAACAAATCGTAACATTGACTTTGGATGCTGCAAATAGAAAATTAATTTATGAGACCCAGATGAAACATTGACTTTGGTTCCATCACGTGAACCAGACTTATAATTAACTTTGGATACTGAAAATAGACATTCCATTTATGTGAACCAAATATACCATTGATACTGCAAGTATTTATCAAATTTACGAGAAACAGATGTACCTAGCAATGCCTTTAGAAAATAATTGGATTAATATGCTAGCTCCATTCAATATTGCAAACAGACAACTGCATTGTACACCTAGTTAATCCATTATGACTGTAGATTTTTTGTATTAACTGCAAATAGAAAAATATTTCGACATTTAGCCTCAGCACGATGACAAATTTCAAATAAATGTAACAATTAACAATTGTTACTGCAAAATGAATTAGCGGAGAAAACCTAATTACAAAAGCTTTTTCTAAGATGAATGTTTCAACGATCAGGCCTAGTTCCGGTTCAGAGCTATGGGAATGAATAAAGATTAAGTACCCTCGGATGCTAGCCTAATAAAGGGAATGGGGTTACCACGTCAGAACATAAATGAGTTGGAAGTAATTCGAAAAGATTAATGCGCATGTTCAAATCCTCTCTGTTACTTAGTTTTATGAAATTGTCTTGGAGCGAGGACAAAGGTCGAATCCAGGGCGACGCTGAGCTATTACAATGGAAAGGTCGATAAAGGGTATGCCGTATTACTATGTTAGTACTTATAGCATTGTAAAGGGAAGACTTTGTATTTAAGTAAAAGATTTGATCGTTTCCATACTGAACTAAATAAAGATAGCTTGATTAGCATTTTATTACGTGAATAAAGTAAAATAAGCCTTCCAAAGCGTTTGGTTATATACACTACTCCTGTACATTTTCGCAAGGCAGAGATATAAACTGCATACACAGGAGATGTGTATGAAAGTAGAACAAAAATTAATTACGACCAGTCACACCAGTCAATATTAGGCCCAATTGGCTATACTTGAAATTCTAACATATTTTGTACACATTCACCATTTTTAAGATTTACACTAGTTAGTGTTAAAAGTAATGTTAATTTAATAGTGCCAACACATACAATGCAAATCAGAGAAGGCTTTTGTACGCGAAGTGAAGTTTAATACGGACTTAATATACACGAGAATGTGGTGGTGCACGACATGATGTACAATGTTGAGAGTGTGACTGTGGTGGTGCATGACTTGACGAAGAATGTAAAGAATGTGATTGTGGTGGTGCGTGACGCGATGTAGAATGTTAAGAGTGTGACTGTGGTGGTGCAGGACGCGATGTAGAATGTTGAGAGTGCGACTGTGGTGGTGTGCGACGCGATGTAGAATGTTGAGAGTGGGACTGTGGTGGTGCAGGACGCGATGTAGAATGTTGAGAGTGCGACTGTGGTGGTGTGCGACGCGATGTAGAATGTTGAGAGTGGGACTGTGGTGGTGCAGGACGCGATGTAGAATGTTGAGAGTGGGACTGTGATGGTGCGCGACGCGATGTAGAATGTTGAGAGTGGGACTGTGGTGGTGCGCGACGCGATGTAGAATGTTGAGAGTGGGACTGTGGTGGTGCAGGACGCGATGTAGAATGTTGAGAGTGGGACTGTGATGGTGCGCGACGCGTTGTAGAATGTTGAGAGTGGGACTGTGGTGGTGCGCGACGCGATGTAGAATGTCGAGAGTGGGACTGTGGTGGTGCAGGACGCGATGTAGAATGTTGAGAGTGGGACTGTGGTGGTGCGCGACGCGATGTAGAAAGTTGAGAGTGTGACTGTGGTGGTGCGCGACGCGATGTAGAATGTTGAGAGTGGGACTGTGGTGGTGCAGGACGCGATGTAGAATGTTGAGAGTGGGACTGTGGTGGTGCGCGACGCGATGTAGAATGTTGAGAGTGGGACTGTGGTGGTGCAGGACGCGATGTAGAATGTTGAGAGTGGGACTGTGGTGGTGCAGGACGCGATGTAGAATGTTAAAAGTGTGACTGTGGTGGTGCGCGACGCGATGTAGAATGTTGAGAGTGGGACTGTGGTGGTGCAGGACGCGATGTAGAATGTTGAGAGTGGGACTGTGGTGGTGCAGGACGCGATGTAGAATGTTGAGAGTGGGACTGTGGTGGTGCGCGACGCGATGTAGAATGTTGAGAGTGGGACTGTGGTGGTGCGCGACGCGATGTAGAATGTTGAGAGTGGGACTGTGATGGTGCGCGACGCGATGTAGAAAGTTGAGAGTGTGACTGTGGTGGTGCGCGACGCGATGTAGAATGTTGAGAGTGGGACTGTGGTGGTGCAGGACGCGATGTAGAATGTTGAGAGTGGGACTGTGGTGGTGCAGGACGCGATGTAGAATGTTGAGAGTGGGACTGTGGTGGTGCAGGACGCGATGTAGAATGTTGAGAGTGGGACTGTGGTGGTGCAGGACGCGATGTAGAATGTTGAGAGTGGGACTGTGGTGGTGCGCGACGCGATGTAGAATGTTGAGAGTGTGACTGTGGTGGTGCGCGACGCGATGTAGAATGTTGAGAGTGTGACTGTGATGGTGCGCGACGCGATGTAGAAAGTTGAGAGTGTGACTGTGGTGGTGCGCGACGCGATGTAGAATGTTGAGAGTGGGACTGTGGTGGTGCAGGACGCGATGTAGAATGTTGAGAGTGGGACTGTGATGGTGCGCGACGCGATGTAGAAAGTTGAGAGTGTGACTGTGGTGGTGCGCGACGCGATGTAGAATGTTGAGAGTGGGACTGTGATGGTGCGCGACGCGATGTAGAAAGTTGAGAGTGTGACTGTGGTGGTGCGCGACGCGATGTAGAATGTTGAGAGTGGGACTGTGATGGTGCGCGACGCGATGTAGAATGTTGAGAGTGGGACTGTGATGGTGCGCGACGCGATGTAGAAAGTTGAGAGTGTGACTGTGGTGGTGCGCGACGCGATGTAGAATGTTGAGAGTGGGACTGTGATGGTGCGCGACGCGATGTAGAATGTTGAGAGTGGGACTGTGATGGTGCGCGACGCGATGTAGAAAGTTGAGAGTGGGACTGTGGTGGTGCGCGACGCGATGTAGAATGTTGAGAGTGGGACTGTGATGGTGCGCGACGCGATGTAGAAAGTTGAGAGTGTGACTGTGGTGGTGCGCGACGCGATGTAGAATGTTGAGAGTGGGACTGTGGTGGTGCAGGACGCGATGTAGAATGTTGAGAGTGGGACTGTGGTGGTGCAGGACGCGATGTAGAATGTTGAGAGTGGGACTGTGATGGTGCGCGACGCGATGTAGAATGTTGAGAGTGGGACTGTGATGGTGCGCGACGCGATGTAGAAAGTTGAGAGTGTGACTGTGATGGTGCAGGACGCGATGTAGAATGTTGAGAGTGCGACTGTGGTGGTGTGCGACGCGATGTAGAATGTTGAGAGTGGGACTGTGGTGGTGCAGGACGCGATGTAGAATGTTGAGAGTGGGACTGTGATGGTGCGCGACGCGATGTAGAAAGTTGAGAGTGTGACTGTGGTGGTGCGCGACGCGATGTAGAATGTTGAGAGTGGGACTGTGGTGGTGCAGGACGCGATGTAGAATGTTGAGAGTGGGACTGTGGTGGTGCAGGACGCGATGTAGAATGTTGAGAGTGGGACTGTGGTGGTGCAGGACGCGATGTAGAATGTTGAGAGTGGGACTGTGGTGGTGCAGGACGCGATGTAGAATGTTGAGAGTGGGACTGTGGTGGTGCGCGACGCGATGTAGAATGTTGAGAGTGTGACTGTGGTGGTGCGCGACGCGATGTAGAATGTTGAGAGTGTGACTGTGATGGTGCGCGACGCGATGTAGAAAGTTGAGAGTGTGACTGTGGTGGTGCGCGACGCGATGTAGAATGTTGAGAGTGGGACTGTGGTGGTGCAGGACGCGATGTAGAATGTTGAGAGTGGGACTGTGGTGGTGCAGGACGCGATGTAGAATGTTGAGAGTGGGACTGTGGTGGTGCAGGACGCGATGTAGAATGTTGAGAGTGTGACTGTGATGGTGCGCGACGCGATGTAGAATGTTGAGAGTGTGACTGTGATGGTGCGCGACGCGATGTAGAATGTTGAGAGTGGGACTGTGGTGGTGCAGGACGCGATGTAGAATGTTGAGAGTGTGACTGTGATGGTGCGCGACGCGATGTAGAATGTTGAGAGTGGGACTGTGATGGTGCGCGACGCGATGTAGAAAGTTGAGAGTGTGACTGTGGTGGTGCGCGACGCGATGTAGAATGTTGAGAGTGGGACTGTGATGGTGCAGGACGCGATGTAGAATGTTGAGAGTGGGACTGTGATGGTGCGCGACGCGATGTAGAAAGTTGAGAGTGTGACTGTGGTGGTGCGCGACGCGATGTAGAATGTTGAGAATGTGACTGTGGTGGTGCAGGACGCGATGTAGAATGTTGAGAGTGGGACTGTGATGGTGCGCGACGCGATGTAGAAAGTTGAGAGTGTGACTGTGGTGGTGCGCGACGCGATGTAGAATGTTGAGAGTGGGACTGTGATGGTGCAGGACGCGATGTAGAATGTTGAGAGTGGGACTGTGGTGGTGCAGGACGCGATGTAGAATGTTGAGAGTGGGACTGTGGTGGTGCAGGACGCGATGTAGAATGTTGAGAGTGGGACTGTGGTGGTGCAGGACGCGATGTAGAATGTTGAGAGTGTGACTGTGATGGTGCGCGACGCGATGTAGAATGTTGAGAGTGTGACTGTGATGGTGCGCGACGCGATGTAGAATGTTGAGAGTGGGACTGTGGTGGTGCAGGACGCGATGTAGAATGTTGAGAGTGTGACTGTGATGGTGCGCGACGCGATGTAGAATGTTGAGAGTGGGACTGTGATGGTGCGCGACGCGATGTAGAAAGTTGAGAGTGTGACTGTGGTGGTGCGCGACGCGATGTAGAATGTTGAGAGTGGGACTGTGATGGTGCGCGACGCGATGTAGAATGTTGAGAGTGGGACTGTGATGGTGCGCGACGCGATGTAGAAAGTTGAGAGTGGGACTGTGGTGGTGCGCGACGCGATGTAGAATGTTGAGAGTGGGACTGTGATGGTGCGCGACGCGATGTAGAAAGTTGAGAGTGTGACTGTGGTGGTGCGCGACGCGATGTAGAATGTTGAGAGTGGGACTGTGGTGGTGCAGGACGCGATGTAGAATGTTGAGAGTGGGACTGTGGTGGTGCAGGACGCGATGTAGAATGTTGAGAGTGTGACTGTGATGGTGCGCGACGCGATGTAGAATGTTGAGAGTGGGACTGTGATGGTGCGCGACGCGATGTAGAAAGTTGAGAGTGGGACTGTGATGGTGCGCGACGCGATGTAGAAAGTTGAGAGTGTGACTGTGGTGGTGCGCGACGCGATGTAGAAAGTTGAGAGTGGGACTGTGATGGTGCGCGACGCGATGTAGAAAGTTGAGAGTGTGACTGTGGTGGTGCAGGACGCGATGTTGAAAGTTGAGAGTGGGACTGTGATGGTGCGCGTCGCGATGTAGAAAGTTGAGAGTGTTATTGTGGTGGTGGAGGACGCGATGTTGAACGTTGAGAGTGTTATTGTGGTGGTGCAGGACGCGATGTAGAAAGTTGAGATTGTTATTGTGGTTGTGCAGGACGCGATGTTGAAAGTTGAGAGTGTGACTGTGGTGGTGCGCGACGCGATGTAGAATGTTGAGAGTGTGACTGTGGTGGTGCGCGACGCGATGTAGAATGTTGAGAGTGTGACTGTGATGGTGCGCGACGCGATGTAGAATGTTGAGAGTGCGACTGTGGTGGTGCGCGACACGATGTAGAATGTTGAGAGTGCGACTGTGATGGTGCGCGACGCGATGTAGAATGTTGAGAGTGCGACTGTGGTGGTGCGCGACGCGATGTAGAATGTTGAGAGTGTGACTGTGATGGTGCGCGACGCGATGTAGAATGTTGAGAGTGTGACTGTGGTGGTGCGCGACGCGATGTAGAATGTTGAGAGTGTGACTGTGATGGTGCGCGACGCGATGTAGAAAGTTGAGAGTGCGACTGTGATGGTGCGCGACGCGATGTAGAATGTTGAGAGTGGGACTGTGATGGTGCGCGACGCGATGTAGAAAGTTGAGAGTGCGACTGTGGTGGTGCGCGACGCGATGTAGAATGTTGAGAGTGTGACTGTGGTGGTGCGCGACGCGATGTAGAATGTTGAGAGTGGGACTGTGATGGTGCGCGACGCGATGTAGAAAGTTGAGAGTGCGACTGTGATGGTGCGCGACGCGATGTAGAATGTTGAGAGTGCGACTGTGGTGGTGCGCGACGCGATGTAGAATGTTGAGAGTGTGACTGTGGTGGTGCGCGACGCGCCGGTCCGTGCCTCGACTCCTCGGGCGACTTCGCCCCCGGTCGGTCCATTCCCAGACTCCAGTGTTCGATAGTGAGTGGAGGGAGAAGGTTGACGGAGCTCTAAGGTAGGTGCTCTCCAGAACATATGGTGCCCTATCCTGCGTCCAGTTCCCTCCGCCCTTCCGGATCCAACAACTGATTTGCTCTTTTGGATATCCACAAACTTCTAATGTGTCATTAACAATACAGAGTTTCTTACTTATGCAATGTTTAAAATAAATTGCTTGTTTTTTTAATGCAAGGGTATGCTTGGTAAAAAAAAACATATTAATAGCTAATCAGTTAATAGTTACAAGGATTTGTTTAACATCTATTAATATATCAGTTATGGGCTATGAATAATTTATATAAAATTGTTGCTAGTTATACTAAAGATAATGACTAGGCCTACAAGAATTAATGGCAGGGTTGCTAGCAATACAAAATTTGATTATAACACATACTATTTTCAATATGACATGTTGTTATCAAAATGATAACTTTTTTTGGTAAATTTGGTTGAAAAGAAATAACTTTTTAACATACTACATCATTGTTGTTAGCAAACAATAATAATCAAATCTTAAAATTAAATATTTTTAATTAGGAATGGAAAACTGTTTCAAATATACTACCCTAAATATTTTTAGGCATTAAGTCTGAAATTGAAAATTCGTCTGCCTAATGTTATGAATTTTGTTGTATTTTTCTGTTGTGTTCACTGTTTATAATAAACTAACTTGTTTTAGTATTGCCAATCGACAAATAGGTAATTTGTATTCCAGAAGCTGCCGATTAGCTAGGATTTAAATGCAAATAATAATAATAATTTGTTGAAGTAACATGCGGTTACTAAGATCACCGGATAAAGATATGTCTTAGGACGGTATGGATAATCTGAAATTTTTTGAGTATTTGTTTTGGTTTTCAATTTGTCATCATCAAAATTATGAATAAGAATTTTTAGTTTAATATGGCAAGTTAGGACAGAAAGTAATTAGGTCATAATGAGCTCAAGTAAAACGGGCGAGGCAAACCTAGACTGGACGACATAGCTGGAATAGCCACTTTTGGGTCCTGTGTTAAAGTGTAATTAATTGTAGTCATATAAAAACAAAATATTTCGCTTGGTTATTTACCTTTCGTAATGGTTACCTTCCAACAATTGTTTTCATCACGGCTTCCATAACTTCATTGCTATGATGAACAATCAGCTGTTTCGGGAGTGATGATAAGTTGTCGCATTTACTCAGTATTTTGTAGTAAATGTTTATAGTAATATTTTTAGATAGTCGTTACGTATCATACGTCATGTCGTTACGTAGTAGTTGACAACAGTTGACTACAACCGGTAGTAAAAAAATCTCTTTTTATTTTGGAGTATATTTTTAAACAAATACATCTTTAAGTTCCGTGTTTCCTGTACTCTAATGCAACAATAATCTAACGTCAAAATATTTAATAATGACTTACAATCGATAGTAATGATCGATAATTGCTATCGAAATAATCGATTGGGCCCTCGTTTTAATAACTGTTCAAAATGTTTAAGCTCTAACGAATTTGTATTACCAATTAGACTTCATCTAATACTTGATGGCACCAGGATCAAAAATAGCTATTATAATTAACGTGATACATGTTATGCAGCAATATGACAAAACCTATATTATGACTATAGAATTTTAATTATTTTAAAATTTATTTTCTACCCCTTCGAATTATGCCTAAAACCAACCACATACTGTAAACATTATTTTACAGGTTGTACCTTTAACACATAATATTAACTGTTGACTAAAATTGTATATTCAATAGGCTTGAACAAGTCTTTTTAAGATGCAAGAGTTCAATTCCCGGCACCCCCAAAAAATCGTAATGCGTTTGGACCACTTTCCATTAAAAGTGTTTGATGAGCTTTCAAATATATTAGAAAGGAGATTCTCTAACGGGTACACTATTCATGCGATAGTTATATCTCTTAACAACCGTTACACAAATTTTATAAAAAGTGCTGTAGTACATATGTACATTCTTTAAAATTATGTATTAAAAAAGGAATAATGGAATGAAAATAAAAGGTAAATGATAATCTATTAGCGTAATTAAGACTAAATTTACAAAGCAATAGATATTGATATTGTGTTAGCAACAGTTTACAGATATTGATATTATCGAATCGTAAAATAAATGGATCTTATTAACTATAGTCATAGTTCACCTAAGATTAAAAAGGTTAAGGAAAGGAGATTAATCTAAAAAAAACCGGGATTCTATATTTTTTAAAGTGGTTATTACAGTAGGCCTATATTTAGCTATTATACATAGATTTGTGTGAATATTGGTACTCGAAACAGTATATCGCTACTGAACCTCAGACACATTCATAAATTATGATACTTTTTTAAGAACATAGCAGATTTACCAATAGCCCTAAAACGGAACATTTTGAATCGTAAAACGTACGATGTGCTTCCATTACCTCAGTTAAGGTACTCTAAAAATACGTCTGAGAGTAAAATGTAGAGGTATATTTTCAATTCATTGCAAAATCATGATAACATTTTGAAACAATGGTTACTTGTTTAACAGACTACTTCTGTTTGTTTTTCATTCCTACCCTAAGACTAAAAGTATATTTACCGGTCCAGTAAATGTTTGTACACCGTCTATAAGCAAGTAGTGATCATAAGCTCGAAAGATAGAGTTAATTTTTTTACAAAAACAATCTTAACAAGTGCGAACAATCGTTCGTTACATCTAAGAAGGAACCGAACTCTTTCCAAGTTAATGCAATAAGGGTTGAAAACTAATGAATACATTGTTATAACCTATTTAATATCTTATAAATTTGTAGGTTATAATGGGACATTGAATCATCTTTTTAAACATGAAGCTTTTAATTATGTTAAAAAAAGAGCAACATGAGAGAGCAACAAGAGCAACAAGACCCCTTTCGTCAATATGTACAAATTAATCTCTTTCCCTTAAACATATACTGATTTCCTCCAAAACACTACAAATACGAATACTGTACAAATTCATTATACTGTTTCCAAATAAAAATAATTGAAAACAATATAATGTTCTTGGGGTTAATTTTTATCAAGGATTTTATTATTTTTATGTTAATCGATTCATCCCATTTAGTGTTTAAAATTGTTTTACAAACACTAGATATGCATCAACAAAAAATTGTTTAGCGTATTTTGCCAGTATTATTAGCTTGCGTGGAAAATTCACATGTAACATTTTAACGTGGATTTAATTTTACTAATCATTAAAACAACTTCGCCCAGATAAATGGTTTCAATGGCCTGGGAGGAGTTTTTGTTAATTTCTTATACTAACTTGTTTAACTATTGCGGATAAAAAATACCGTGATTAAAGGAACACAGATTCTCTCTACATTAAAATATGTAAAAAACAATATGTAAAAAAATATGTAGGACAACTCACACGTGCAATGTCAACATACGAAATTCATTCCATTATATATACCATAAATATTATATGTCACTTGGAGATTTAACAGCATATTACATTTTACATATCCTTGATCAAAAATTAACATCTAGCTGCCGATACGTTTCTACAGAGGAACCCTTAGGTTTCCTTAGAATAACACACTTACTAGGTGAATAATAAAAATTTAGTTGTCGTTACGTAATGTATTTACAAGGAAACCCGTATGTTTCTTTACAATAACAATAATTTAGTTGTCGTTACGTAATGTATTTACAAGGAAACCCGTATGTTTCTTTACAATAACAAACATTTATTTGTCGTTATGAAATCTATTCAAAAGGAAACTCGTATGTTTCTTTACAATAACAAACATTTAGTTGTCGTTACGTAATGTATTTACAAGGAAACCCGTATGTTTCTTTACAATAACAAACATTTAGTTGTCGTTATGAAATCTATTCAAAAGGAAACCCGTATGTTTCTTTACAATAACAAACATTTAGTTGTCGTTACGTAATGTATTTACAAGGAAACCCGCATGTTTCTTTACAATAACAAACATTTAGTTGTCGTTATGAAATCTATTCAAAAGGAAACCCGTATGTTTCTCTACAATAACAAACATTTAGTTGTCGTTATGAAATCTATTCAAAAGGAAACCCGTATGTTTCTTTACAATAACAAACATTTAGTTGTCGTTACGTAATGTTTACAAGGAAACCCGTATGTTTCTTTACAATAACAAACATTTAGTTGTCGTTATGAAATCTATTCAAAAGGAAACCCGTATGTTTCTTTACAATAACAAACATTTAGTTGTCGTTATGAAATCTATTCAAAAGGAAACCCGTATGTTTCTTTACAATAACAAACATTTAGTTGTCGTCATGAAATCTATTCAAAAGGAAACCCGTATGTTTCTTTACAACATATTTAAAAGACCAATAATACTCATTTACATACTATTTAGGATAGTTTTTATTTCACATAACAACTCAACCGTGGGGCTATCAAAATGAATGATAATAAATTATAATAATTTAGTTGTCATTGTTCATTGTGTAACAAGGAAATACGTTATAAGTCTTTACAATTTACCCGACAATTAAATAGCAAAATAAATTACAAAACTATTAAGAAAATACCTTTAACCAAGGTAAAGGGAAGAAAACCTGTGATTAGAGTATAACGGCATGGCAATTACTGGCCAGTGTGGTCGGAGCAAAGTCTTTGAAGTACCGTGATTTTGACAGCCAGGTGCCTTTAATTAGACAGGCTTAACACAGGAAACATTTCCTTCTTATGACGAAGAAGCTCAAGTTTGTTTAATGGTCCTTATGAAAGTAATGTGGGTATGGATAATAAAAAGCTATAAATTCCTCCAACTACCAATTCTTATCATTAAAGTTTTTTTACTTAGAGTCAAAACACAATATATAGGTAAAAGAAATAACAAAGATACTTTAATTTGAAGAACCAACGTTTGACTAAACTGAATAGATGTTTCAATACCCCTGATGCAGCAAACTTGTAGACTAAGCAAATTTTCCATGTCTGATTGGATTTTGACTGAAATATTTCCTTAATATTTCAAGATTATTCGTTATTAAAAAAAATAAGATTTAACGATTGCATAGT